TTTGATTGAAAGACCAATATATGTTCGTTGATAACATACGTGCATATAAGAAAAAGATTGATGGACCATTTCAACTACCACTATTTTTCTTGTAAGTGGCTACCATGACATACACAAACCTTTATTAGATGCTTATCTTTTTATATATTTTTCACAATTAAATTTTAATGTGAACAAGTATTAGATTATATAATATTAGACATATTCAATGTAATTTTATATGTGGATATACACTAGCATGTACATAAATTTATTTTTATTTTTATGGGATAGAAAAACTATTTCTCACATATTCTTAGCTAAAAATAGAAAATTAAGAAAGAAAAAGAGACGACATACAAAAACAAGTTTAACAACAAAGATTAGTTTATATAACAAAAAAAGAAGAAGAAGAAACTAGTGGTACCTAAATTATACTAATAAAATTTGGGCAATACTTAATTATCTACTACTTTTCTACCATAATCTTCGACTTTCTATCTAAAACCATGTTTTTAGACTTCAACCTATTAGCTGCTTTAAATTAATCACAATTAATATAAACATACATCTAATATATCTATAATATTAGAGCCTAGATGAGAACGTTAAGGAAAAAGATTTGTAATATACAATATTTATATATTACGTATGATTATTATGTGTAAATTTATATTTGGATAAATATACAAAACCTGTATATTTATTGATTATTTACAAACTATATCACCTAAAGACATTATATTATTTATGCTATTATGATTTCACATAAAAAATGATTATGAGGTAGATGTGAAAGTGAAATTAAAACTAAAGGAAGTGGCCTTAGACTCAACTTTCTTTGTTGGGTAATTACATTAATTAAGCAAATCAATTATGGGGGAAAATGTCAAATTTGATGTAAACAGACAGCAAATATCCATCTTATTTTCAATTTATAACTAATTAATTAAATTAAAGCATGACTCTGCCATAGTTATGCATTAAGTAAATTTAGTTTGTTGCCAAATTGCTTTCTTATAGTGACTTGTGATTTATTTTTATCTATAAAAAAAAGACAATATCACTGGATAAGATTTGGAAAATGAAAAGACTTGGCCTACTTGCTAAAAAATGAGTAGTAATTAATTTTAACTTCACCTTATACTTCAAATTTAGGTTGAAACTGAAATTTTATTTGATGAATTTTAAAAAAAAATTGAATAGAAAGTTCAAACAACAACTCCTTAATTTTAATTTTCATATGACCTACTTAAAATTTAATATCTTTCATAATAAAAAATATAATTTTTTTTTTATAAATTAAAATCATGGAGTAGCTTTTAATTAATTATTTTTAAAAAAATAAGAATGGATTGCTCCACTAATTTAGCTTTCTTCTCCTTTTTTCTTTTAGCCCATAACTCTTTACTCTGCTCAAATAAATATTGTCTGTTACTTTTACACCGTTATTGCCACCATCTTTTCTCTCTCTTCTTTACCCTCCATGAATGAGCTGAACAACATAACTCCACTCCCCAATACTCATAAAGAGTCAACAACACCAAAAACCTCATAAAAAATTAATTTTTGGCACAAACATTTATGCAAAATGGCTCCTTTTGACTCCATGAATTGCTAGTTCACATTCTAGAAAATGATGTTTTTGTTTTCTTTGAATTTAAAATTCTATTAATTTGTTTGTATCTGAGGTGGGGTTTTCAGTTATAGCATCAACCTGCCTGTTAATGTTACAAAATCCAAGATATCATTCTCTTTTTCTTCTTTTCTACCTGAAAAAAATAATTTTATTTTTCTGCTACCCCCTTCAAGAGTTTTTCTTCTGGTTTATGTTCTGTTTGTTCATTATTGATTTGGGTTTCTCAGTCTTGGAGCTCCTTTGAATGAAAAAGGTGACATCTTTACCCTTCTGCTGATGTTTCTTTTGATGGGTATTTCATATATTGTGCTACTGTGGTGATGAAATAGTTGTTGTTTGTGTTACTGTTCATTTTCAAGAACTGCTGGTTTTAGCCTTTAAGGTCTAATTTTGTGTTCTTTTGGGATTTGAATGATGATGGAAGGTTTTGGATTGTTTGGGAAGAGTTTGATAATATTGGTGTTGGGAGTTCTGTGTGTTTCTGGTTTTGAACCTGCTGATAATTTCTTAGTAGATTGTGGATCATCTAAAGATACTAATGTTGGCAATAGGGTCTTTATGGCTGATAAATCAGCTTCAAAGTTTTTGTCAACTTCAAAAGATATATTGGCTGATACCCCTTCAAATTCAATTACAAAAGCTAATGATTCACCCCTTTATCAAACTGCTAGAATTTTTACTCAACAATCCAGCTATAAATTCCCAATTAGCCTGAAGGGGAGGCATTGGATTCGCCTTTATTTTTACCCGTTTGTTTACCAAATTTATGATATGAGCACTGCAATGTTCTCTGTTTCCACTCAAAATAATGTTCTTCTTGGCAATTTCTCTCCAAAAAATGCTTCTGTCAAGGAATTTTCAGTAAATGTTACCTCGAATGACCTTGTAGTAACGTTCTCTCCTTCGAGCAATTCATTTGCTTATATAAATGCTATGGAAATTGTCTCTGTACCTGATGTCCTTATAACTGATGATGCCTTCACCATTAGTCCAGCTGGGACATTCCGTGGTATGTATGCACAGGCTCTCGAAACGGTTGCTAGGGTAAACATGGGTGGATCATTGGTGTCGTTTGATAATGATACACTTTGGAGAACTTGGGTTACTGATCAAAGTTTCTTGATCCAGCCGAGTTCAGCTAAGTCGGTTAGTAAGATTGGATCCGTAAAATATCCAGCAGATGGAGCAACACCAGATTTTGCACCACCGTCAGTTTATGGTACTTGTAGTGAGATGAACGTGGCTGGTGCGGGTGATGATTCTAATGCCAATTTTAACGTGACCTGGACATTTAATGTGGATCCTGGGTTCCAATATTTCATTCGCTTACACTTCTGTGACATAGTGAGTATAGCTGCCAATCAGCTGCTGTTTAACATTTATGTGAACTCCTGGAACGTGGCTTCTGATTTTGATCCTGGTCAGAAAGTTCAGGGAATTTTGGCCACAGCTTATTACAATGACTATGTTACTCCAACCGCTAAAAGTAATAGGCTTAACGTTAGTGTGGGCCCATCTCGAAGGAGTGCTTATCCTGATGCTTTCCTAAATGGACTGGAACTTCTGAAGTTGAATAATTCTCAGGGCAGCCTTAGTCAGGTAGGTTCTGTTCCTACTAATCCGAGTTCAAAGGCAAAGAAGAATGTCGGAGTCATCGTGGGTGTGTGTATAGGTATCCCAGTTTTGTTGGTGATGGTTGGCATCTTATTTTGCATGCATAGAAGAAGAAAACAAGAAAAGTTAGCCCAGTCAAAAATATGGATTCCTGTATCTATGAATGGTGGCACTTCACACACCATGGGAAGCAAGTATTCAAACGGTACAACCATAAGTGCTGCTTCAAACATGAGTTATCGCGTTCCTTTTGCAGCTTTGCTGGAAGCAACGAGCAACTTCGATGAGAGTTTGGTCATTGGAATAGGTGGCTTTGGGAAGGTATACAAGGGTGTTTTGTATGATGGTACAAAGGTGGCTGTGAAAAGGGGTAATCCCAAGTCCCAACAAGGTATTGCAGAGTTCCGAACGGAAATTGAGATGCTTTCTCAGTTCCGCCATCGGCATCTGGTTTCATTGATGGGATACTGTGATGAAAAAAATGAAATGATTCTAGTTTATGAGTATATGGAGAATGGGACCCTCAAGAGCCATCTGTATGGGTCAGATCTACCCAGTATGAGCTGGAAGCAGAGGCTGGAGATATGCATCGGGTCGGCCAGAGGTCTGCACTACCTTCATACTGGCTATGCTAAGGCAGTAATACATCGTGATGTCAAGTCCGCAAACATACTGCTTGATGAGAGTTTTATGGCAAAAGTTGCTGATTTTGGACTATCCAAGACAGGGCCTGAGCTTGATCAAACTCATGTTAGCACTGCCGTGAAAGGAAGTTTTGGCTACCTAGATCCTGAATATTTTAGAAGGCAACAACTGACAGAAAAATCTGATGTTTATTCTTTCGGTGTTGTTTTATTTGAAGTTCTTTGTGCTAGGCCTGTCATAGATCCATCTCTTCCGAGAGAGATGGTCAACTTAGCTGAATGGGCAATGAAGTGGCAGAAGATGGGACAACTGGAACAAATAATAGATTCCAATCTTGAGGGCAAAATAAGACCAGATTCTCTCAGGAAGTTTGGAGAAACAGCAGAGAAATGCTTAGCTGATTTTGGTGTAGACAGGCCATCAATGGGCGATGTGTTGTGGAATCTGGAGTATGCACTTCAACTTCAAGAAGCTGTCATTCAAGATGATCCTGAAGAAAACAGCACCATCCTTATTGGCGAGCTCTCTCCACAAGTCGATGATTTCAGTCAAGTTGATCCCGGTGTTTCTGCTGCTCATAACGGAACACCAAATTTGGATGATCTCTCTGGTGTTTCCATGAGTAGAGTTTTCTCACAATTGGTCAAGTCTGAGGGTAGATAATTAAGTAAAAAGGTACATACAGTGTTTAGGTGTTTGTTAATTCCACTTTTGTTTGTGGATCATATAAAGATTGATCTTTTCTTTCTTTTGTAACAGTTTATTCTACGAATTTCCGAGTTTTATATAGGAATGTATATTTGAAAACATGCATTATTCTACCTGTGGATCTTCTTTTCATTTTCTTGGCATGCCCATTCATGTCATGCCATTGAGAATCTGGATGTTTAATGTGTTTGAGATACTGCAAAGTTAGTGGCTTTGGAGATCGGAATATAGTCAAATATTAAGGGTTTTTCTCCCTTTCTAATTTACTGGCAAAAGCTTGTTAGTTTTCTCCCTCTTAAGATCGAAATTGTTTGCTCATTGTTGTCATAAATGTTTAAACATTCTTTGAAGATGAAGGTAGGGAGATATGTCAGTTCATTGGCTAAATTGAACTTATGCACTATGAGGCCCGGGTCATTGGTCTAGTGGTAAGAATGCAATCAAAAGTTTGGTACTTAAGTGGAGAAGGGCGGGATCATTATCCATGAGTTATGGACCGTATCACTGGGCCCTTGAGGATTTCTCAGTTATTAAAGGAAATAGTCAGCTTCTGTGAGATGGAGTTTCTGTGGCTCCTCTTCAACACCTTACAATTTTCTATGAGGTAAGTATGGTCTTGCTTAAATATGTTCTTTTTCTTTATAGAATCTTTTATCATCATATATTTTCTTGTCACTCAATTTTGACAAGAAAGAATATATTTCACTAATTTCTATGGAAAAAGATGTCAAAGACAGATTAACTGAACTAGTATCGCAAACCTTTTATATATATATATATATACTTCAGAGACTGGTTGCTGAACCATCAACATCTTCAAGATCCGATAACATTCTTCAGAGACTACTTACTGGTGTTTTACATGCCAAGGATGATAATGCCCGTAAAGAGATGAAAAAAGTGATATCTAGTTTGCTAAGAGAAAACACTAGCAATAGTAGCAGTCATGAAAGTAATCTTGATATCTCAAGGGATACTATCATTTTTGTCATAGATGCCTCACTTCGCTAATACTTAGCTTGTTTGAAGCTACATCCGTGGATGACAACAGGCAGCAGGACCAAGGGGTTCTGATGGGTGAGATTGCTCGTGAAGCAGACAATCTGCAGTGGCTAGTTGATATCCTAATCGACAGGAAAATGGGGGATGAGTTTGTGAAACTATGGGCAGAACAAAAAGAACTTTCCATTCTTCACTCCAAGATTCTCACCATGTATCGACATGAAATCAGCAAGATCACTGCACAACTTTGCATTGCAATTGGTAGGGGAAATTTGTTAGTGCCAAAAGATGTTAGATACTGTTTGTTATCAACATGGCTGGAAAGTCTATATGACGATTTTGGGTGGATGAAGAGGGCTGGTAAATCTATTGACAAGAAGCTGGTTGAAGAGGGACTTGGTCAGACTATTCTAACACTACCCTTGGCTCAACAACAAACCATTCTGCTTAACTGGTTTGATCGATTCCTTAACAAAGGAGATGACTATCCCAATATTCAGAGAGCTTTCGAAGTTTGGTGGAGAAGGTCATTTGTTAAACAATACACAGCCGATTCTCAGTTACAATTAGCTATCTTTGATTATACAGAGTGAGAAGGAGAGATTGTACAATGTCAATCTTGGTTTGTTACATGCTCCTATACACCAATGTATATATGAAAATGCATGCTCCCACCATTTTTTCAAACAAACAATCATGTAGTTCAGTTTCTGTTGTAAATTTGGATCTTCAGTTTGTCTGATGATTTATCTATAAAGAGAGGGAAGGGCAGCAGAAATATAATATACTTCAAATCAAGATCATCTAGTTGTATAAAGATGGCAGTAATTTCTATATACAACCAAACCAACCCCCAAAAAATGAATAAAACACTATTATTGAAGATAGTTTGTTAGAATCTCGAAATTTAAAATGTAAAGATCAATCAAAATACATGTAAATTGACATCTAATTGCCCAACAAGTTATTAGTGGAAACTTTTATCGCCACAAAAACTAGGCTTTAGAACAACTTTTATCTGCCGCAGAAAGGATTACAGTTGCTTTTCATGGCAAATAAAACCGTCGCTAAAAGGTATGAAGGTCGTCGCTAAAATTCTCTTTCAGTGGCGACTAAAAGTCGTCACTAAAAGACGTTTTAGGTGGGTCGCTAAAAGGTATGAAGGTCGTCGCTAAAAATTGCTTTTAGTGGCGACAAAAGTTGTCGCTGAAAATTCGCTTTTAGCGGCGACTAAATTCGTCGCTAAAGGGTATGAAAGTCGTCGCTAAAAGTCACTTTAAATGGCGACTAAAGTGTCGCTAATAAGTATGAAGGTCGGTAAAAGTCTCTTTAGCAGCGACCAAAATCGTCGCTACAGGTTATGAAGGTCGTCGCTAAAACTACTTTTAGCAGCGACTATAATCGTCGCTAATAAGTATGAAGGTCGTCGCTAAAAGTTACTTTTAGCAGCGACTGAAGTCGTCGCTAATAGGTATGAAGGTCGTCGCTAAAAGTTCTTTTAGCAGCGACGACAAAATTCGTCGCTAAAAGTAACTTTAGCAACGACAAATTCGTCACTAATAAGTATGAAGGTCGTCGCTAAAAGTTACTTTTAGCAGCGACTAAATTCGTCGTTAATAAGTATGAAGGTCGTCGCTAAAAGTTACTTTTAGCAGCGACCAAAGTCGTCGCTAATAGGTATGAAGGTCGTCGCTATAAGTTTCTTAGTGGCGACTAATGTCATCGCTATAAGTAGTGGCGACTAATGTCGTCGCTATAAGTAGTGGCGACTAATGTCGTCGCTATAAGTAGTGGCGACTAATGTCGTCGCTATAAGTAGTGGCGACTAATGTCGTCGCTATAAGTAGTGGCGACTAATGTCGTCGCTAAAAGTTCCTTTTTAGTGGCGACTAAAATTGCAGCTAAAGGGTATAAGGTCGTCGTTAAAAGTAACCTTTAGATGGCGACTGATATTGCCGCTAAAAGGTATGAAGTTGTCGCTAAAAGTCGGTTTTAGTGGCGACAAAAGTTGTGCTAAAAGTTGCTTTCAGTGGCGACTAAAGTCGTCGCTAAAAGCTGTATTTAGTATCGACTCAAAACGCCACTAAAAGGGTATGATGTCGTCACTAAAAGGTATGTAACTTTTTCCCACTAAAAGTTTAATAGTCGCCACGAAAACCAATCTCTAGCGGCAAATTTAATTGCCACTAAAACCAAAGTTTAGCGACAACAAGCATATAATAGTTGCCACGATAATCAACCTTTAGCGACTACTATGATCGTCGCTAAAAACATACCATTGTCGCCACTAAAACTATTCATTAGCGACAACTGTTATCCCGCTAATAAATATAGTCATTGCCACTAAAAAGAAGCATTAGTGACAACTGTTCTCGCCGTTTCATGAATATCTATTACGATCTTATTAATTGTGTGGTCTCTAAAGGCAAACAGACACATTTGCTAGTTCAAACAAGGTAGAATGCAGAAAAAAAAATCAAATTTACCTAATTTCATATGAATTTTTAATGATACGTGATCTCGACTTATTTTTTACCGAAATTCTTTTAAAATATTAGCTTTCTGTTATCACAAGGCGATAATGATAACAAAAACCTGGGCTAGGAATCTGGTTGAACAATGTATAAACATAAACGAGGAAATTAGAACCAGAAGCACCATCACATTAATATTAGAATATATCTTTTATGTATACATGTATATATATTTTAACCTGATATATATCACAGCAGACACACTCCACTACTACTACTCTTAACAAATGTTCTTTTGTTAAAAAAAAAAACAAGTTTTAGCATTCTGCAATTCCCTGCTGGAAAATGGTCAGGTATGTATCAATATGCCTAAGACTTTCTTCAGATAAATGAATCGTAAAATTTACCAACAAAGTCTGCATTTGCAACTATGGAGCTAAAATAATGGCACGTTGGAGGCAGGGAGTGTAACGACACTTTTCACCTTTCAGTAACTATGAAAATAAATAATGTAGACAGTCAACATGTCAAACCAACCATGTAATGCAAGATCTATGTATTATCTACTTAGCATGCATTACCATCATGGATCTTGATTCACTTTGGATACAGACTTTGCCTAAGCATGATCATAATACGCATAAGCTATTCTTTTAAACTGGTTGCTAATTACGCCTGGATCCCAAAATCAACCTCTGTAAAGGTCCTCTGGTTCTATTTCTCAGACCAATGGTTACTATAGGTATCGACATTGGACTGGGACTGATTCATAACATGTAGTCTACGATGAATAAAGTGATTGAGAACCATTAACTCATAGGTTCAATTCTCAGCGGAAGCAAAAAAAAGTTACTAGATAACTTCTTTCCATCTTAGTGTTGATAGATAAAAGTTACCCGATATATAAGACCACTTTCATTAAGGCAAAGAGATGTAAAAATTGTGTGTGTTCAGAATTTTAATGCTATTAATTACATATACACATCATTGCGTTCTCAGCCCACATCTGAGAATAGGGCATTGTGAATGAATTATTGCTATAAACATGTATGATTATACTTGTGGCAACACACTGGAAATTTCAAGTGTATGATGGAATATATAAAGATATAATGAAACTCATCATAACTTAAGATGATAGAATGCACCATTAATAATCATATTTACTTTCTTTTTTTGCGATAAATCTCTTTTGGACTATGGAGTAATTGTAGGTTACACAATCTAAACGATGTAAGGGTCTTATTTTTATTTTCTTTTAACTTAATTTTTTTGTAATATTTACATTTCTAAACTATGCAAGAGTTCTATTACTGTCCTAAATTTAGTTGTGAAGATTGCACAAATATTTGTGTTTAACCTGTTATGTATATTAAGATAATGTTGTTGAATGCATTTTTGCACTGATTTTTGCTCACGTGATATCCGACTAATTAGAGTGTATGCAAATTTTACCATAACGAGATTGTTTCCAAAAGACATTCAGCCCATCGAGTATATCAATTCAAGTAAAAGAAAAAGAAAATATAATAATGAAATAACCGAAACACAATACACAACAAATGACGGTAGATAACAAAAGCAAAACGACAATCTATCCCTACTAACTTTCTATGGCTTTTGTTATCTACTAACTTTCTATGGCTCTTTTTTTGGGTCTTATTTTGAATTACAATTGTAGCCAATTTCTTTGGAAAATAGCCACACAATTGATTATTGTTATAGTCTTCAATTAATTGTCTATTTTCTCGCTCTACATAAGTTATTATTATATCTTTTAAGTAATTAAATCTAAGTCATTGATATTAATAGTAGATATGTAATAACTGACACTTATTCCGCATAATATAATTTATTTTTCTCAATTTTTATTTTATACTTCGAACAGAAAAAAGACAATCAAAAGTCAAAGAAGCAAGTAGTATACGCGGTTCGAATATAATACTCCCTCCCTTTAAAAAAGGATGACCTAATTTAACTTGGAAGAGAGTTTAAGAAAAGAAAGAAGACTTTTTAATCTTGTGGTTCTAAATTAAAGTTATGTCAAATGTACTAAAATATCCTTTAATCTTGTGATATTTAAACATGTCACTTGAAAAGTTAAAGTTAAAGTGTTGCCAAAAAAGGAAATGAGTCATTCTTTTTTTGAAACAGACTAAAAAGAAAATAAAATCATTCTTTTTTAAACAGAGAGAGTAACAATAATCGACGCATTAAAATATATAATACAACGAATCAAAAGCCTTTCACAATATATAGAAAAAAAGAATTTTTTTTTTTAAAAAAAAATGCTACCAACTAGAGTAAATATAATAACAAAATGACGACTAAGATTCTTCAAATGGGCCCAAGTGTGCACTATGTGATAATTACATCGTCCCATACTTCATCGACATATTATTATGATAAGAATATTTTACTTTTTATAAAAAAAAAATTGAGTTTGGTATTAATTAGTTATAGAGAAAATTTTGTTATGAGCGTCTCTTTTAAATAAGTTGTGTAACTTGTGATTAATTGAAGTTTCAATATAAACTTCAGATAGCAAGAGAAAAAAATAAAAAAAAATGAATAAAAAGATACATGTCACATTGGTTTAATCTAAAATGAATAATACAATTACATTATGTTAAAAATATTTTTATAAGTTGTTTCTTGAGCTGAAAAAAGGAAGGAGGGGAAAATGGAAAAGAAAATGAATAAATTAAAGTAAACATAATACAACAATACTTGCATTACAAGCTCCAATAATTTTATATTTCATAATCAGAACTTTATAATATATTTTTTAGTTTCTTGGTCGGTCCATTCCTTATCTTTTGGCACACTTCTTCTTTTAATCATATTCTCCACTGAGCCCCCACCCCCACCCTCTTGGTTAAGCATGGAGTATTATATGTGCTGGTAATCGGGTCGGAGTAGTAAGTACGTCATCATTTTGAATTAAAAAATTTCTGTGTAAATTTAGTGGAGCATAAAATCATCTTTATTATAGAACGTTTTATTTTTAATATAGAATATTTTTATATAAATTTAAATTTAATTGGATTCAATGCAGATATTGAGCTCCCCGGGTAATTATGGAATAGCAAATCAGAAAGTTGACCTTCTTTGTAATTATAGCAGTGTATATGGTTTTTTGGTTACTTAAAAATTCCAGCATGTTATGTAGTCCATTATATTTAATTGGTTTAAATATACTGATGATACTAATAAGTTTAAATTATCGATTTCAATTTATATTAGTTAAATTCGTAGAAATTTAAAAAGGTAAAACAAGATTTTTTTTAATATTAAGAT